GGGTGTGCATATATCTGCTTGGATGTCAGCTATGGTCTCTTCAGGGTATATTCCCAGTAGTGGAATTGCTGGGTCAAATGGTTTCTCTATTTGCAACTTTTTGAGAAAGCGCCATACTGCTTTCCACAGGGGTGCAATTCATTTTTGATTGTTGGTGCCAAGGGTGTTGATTGCGGATCCGAGCAAGATGTAATTGTTAACCTCAACCTCTTGCCCATCTGTCATGGAGCTGTCAATTGGCCCAGTGGTGAGAATTTTTTTTTCTCTTGATGTTGGCTTCAATCTACATCGGCAGCAAGCAATGATGTGCCTATAAAGGAGCCCCGCACTTGCCCTTCAACCACGTCCCTCTGCTGATTTGTCAGTGTACCTGGGTTTCTCAAGAGGAGCTTGTGCAGCCATAATGCCACCTCCAACCTCAAGGGGGCAGAAGAGACTCTCCCGGCGCAGTGGTGACGGCCGAACCTCCCTCTTGGTCCCGCTAAGCGCCGAGTCTAGTCCCGCCTAGCAGCCTCACTCATTGGCTGCGACGCCGGCGCTGCCATGTTGGCGGAACCACTGCCACCTGAGCTGTAGAATTTCGTTGTAGCTGTGGATATCCAGTCTGTGTGGACGATTCCTGTCCCTTTTCCTTCTCTGTGTCTCCACACCGAGGCAGGCTGCCGGTGGAATGGAGAAAAGTAGAATGAACCTGCCCAAGGGGCCTGACACACTTTGCTTCGACAAGGATGAGTTTATGAAGGTGCGCGACTGGGGTTCCTGGTCCCCGAGCGGGGTCGTGGTTTGCCCATCTGTGCCCTCTGGACCCTCTCCTGGGGTTTTCTGCTTCCACCGCTGCCCTGCGCATTGCACGCTCCTCTAATCTTCGTTTGCTGCCAGGGTGATCTGTAAGGTGCCGCTGCATTCTGCAGGAAATTTGGCCGGACCTTTGGTCTCTGTTTTGACAGGTGTGGTCCAGATGAAGCACTTCTGTAAAATTGTGCATACTGGGTGAAAAGGCCTGAAGGTTCTGAACGAGTAGGAATTAACTGCGTTACCGGGGGAACTTGTCACTGTAGAGTGTAGTTAAATTGCTAATCCCTGGCACCCAGAAACTTGTTTGCTCACGGAATGTCTCAAACGAATTTCTAATCCCTTGCGCCTATCTTGGCTGGATAGGGAGCTTTGGTGGGCTTACTGTTAAGAATGTTCACTGCAGACCCAAAGTCACACTGGAGAGGAATGAGCAGTCTCCTCCAGTGGGATATGCTGTCTCTGAAAACCTCCTTGAGGGTCAACTGTGAGTCAATTCCAATTCAGTAGCACACAACACCACCCTTGTTGGACGGAAGCCCGGTGGTGTGAAAGCTTTAGTTTAAAGCTTTACTGTTCACCTTAAGCCTTTAGAACTAGAATTTATAAATTGGATTATAAATTCTGATTCTGTTGCAGTTCAAGAAAATAAACATTTTTATTTCTTAAAATTGCCCTAATTTTCTTTAGAAAGTGAACTTGAAGCTGGCTTGCATATAATTAGTTGATAGAAAACTAGAAAAGAAAAATGCTTTCTAGATGAAGATTCATCTGGTACAATCTTGAGAATGGCCAGGGTTTAATTCAAAGATAGGAGAACGTTTGCTCCTTACTTGGTGTATCCTTCTGAGCCTGCACTTAAAGCTATCCAAAATATCACAAGGATTGAGATTCTTTTACGTGGGATAGGACAGTGTTCTGACCAGTTATTCAAAGGGTCACTAGTTGTACTAGACTTGATGGCATCTAACGATGACAACAATACCGCTTAATAACTAGTTTCATTGTTGAAAAGTTTTGGTTTATAATAGACATCTGAAATTTTGGACAAGTGAATTTCTCTTTTTAACTTTTTCTTGTTTGTTTCATTGTCTAGGTTAATCAGTCTTTTATGTTTGCATTCAGAGCTGATCAGCACATCAATTTTTAAGTTATTTATTGCCATATCCTCTCCTGTGGCTACATAGTTTTTGATATGTGAAGATCATCTAGACTCAGGAATACTGCACTTTTGGGTTTTGTTTGATGTTCATGTTAAACCACTTTATTAGAAGGTGTAACCGAGAGGTTGTTGAGTGGATTCTGTTTAAATTCTGTTTTATCCCAACTTGAAGATAGGAAGAGTGAACTGAGGACATGTGACTGGGAGTAGTGGATTGGAAGGTGAAAGAGCACAAACAAATTGAAGAACCCAGCTCTGACTTTAAGAATCAAGGAGTGCATAACATGAAAACTTTAACTTGTCCATCTCTTGACTTCATCAGACTTCCTTTGGTCCTGACAATACTATCTTTTTTACTCCAGACAGTGTGACTACTCTGTATGTCACAGCTGTTTAGTGTAGAATATTATTTATTTTCTAGGTGAGACGCAGAGATAAAGGTTATTTGCAATTTGTGTTTTCTTCAAAGATGATTTTTAGGTTGTAGTTCCCTGGCAGAAAGGATGATGGAGAGTTTACATTCAGCTTATGTAGGTTAAATTTTACATATTTTGTAACGAGGTAGGTGTTTGAAAGAGCAGGCTTGCAGTAAGAAAGGTGATAATGACTTGAAATCCTGTCAGTTGATGGAAACACATTCATTAGTTTGCTGAGGATGGTGAGGTCTTGCCATCATGGTGAGAGTAAATAGCCATTAAATTAGCAGGCATTTGTTAGTTACATATTGTATGCCAGCTTTCAGTTTAGCCATCAAGATAGAGAAATAACATGATTTTGGTCTTTGAGCATTATGATATGAAGAACATGTGTCCTGAGGTAGGGGGGAAAGTGCTCTTAGAGTGATTGAAATTTTGTGATTTTGTCAGTGTGAGAGCTGACTGATTTTTGTCAGCTTTAGAGCTGACTGATCTCAGAAAGCTTCTTGTTTCAGTGGGACTTAAAGTCTACAGTTTGAACCCACTAGCTGTTTCACAGGGGGAAAATGAGGCAGTCTGCCCCTGGTAAGATTTACTACTTTGCAAAGCTGATTTCAGGGTTTCTGTGAATCGGTCAATCCACCAACAGATCAGTTTATGTTGACATGTTGCTTAAATTATAGTGACTTGGAGACAGGTATTTGGTTTTCAGCTTTATACTGTTTGCTTGTGTATGACTTTGGGCAAACTGGTAGCATTTGTGAGTTTCATCTCATTAATCTTTACAGTGTCTTCCATCTCTGTACATTTTACACTTTTGCAGGAAAGCCAGGGAAACCAGTAAATTTTTCTGGTTGGCAGAAAAGAAAACTGAGAGCTCAAAGTGATGTCATTTCCTCAAAAATCAAACAACTAATAGTGGTAAACCACACTTCTTGACTCCAGGGCTTCAATACTGGCAAAATAACTGCATCCTTTTCCTTTCTAGAGTACACAAGTGGGAAGTGTGATCTTTGAATAGAATCAAGAGCTGCTCCAAAAGGTGTCACCAGGTTCTTAGGCTCATGTAGAGGGCCGTCTCTTACTTTAGGAGACTTCTAGCATGCTTATTGATCTATATTCCTGATCTATAAAATCAGCCTTCTGCGCTCCTGAGAGGCACCTTCATTGCATATTGGGTAACATATTCATGTATTTAGCTCTGGACCCTAAGTATTTATGTGAAGCTTAAATTTTCTGCAGTATCAACTTGATACAGACATAAATTCTTGAGATTGCTACAATTTTTCTTCCACTTCTGTTATCCAGACCTGACGCTAGACCCTATGAACAACAGAACTGAACACTGCCCTAACCAGCACAATTCTTCCTTTCTCTAATGTACTTGATCCAATGATATAGTCACTGTGTTGATCTGTCTTGTTGAGGGTCTTCTTCTCTTGCTGAGTTCATTGGTTTTGAGTGCTGTGTAATATTCCATCGTGTGAATATAACAGTTTTTCTATTCATTTGTTTGTTGATAGCAGTTGAATTGCTCCCATCTCTTTCCTAAGCAATTATTGTGAATAAGCAATAAACATGGGTGTGCATACATCAGTTTGATTCGTGGCTCTGGTTTCTTTAGGGTAAATTGCTGGTAGTGGAATTGCTGGGTCTAAAGGTATTTCTATTTCCAGATTTTTGAGAAAGTGACGTTTTGTGTTCCATTTTGTTTTTGACAATTTCCTATACTCATACATTGTACATTCTGTGTTCTTTTTATTTTGCTTCTTTCTTTTTCATGTCAGATGTGTAATGTACTGACATTATAACAAGATTTAAGAGAGGCACATGTCATACGAAAGTATGAACTCCTAGTCATGATGCTTATGAACTCCTAAAGGATCCTGTGTTCCTATTATTAATGGATATTTACAACTATTTCCTCCTCATTTTGAGTGACTTTCAATCTGGAGCTCTACCTCTAGTATTATGTATAACAGTGTTCCTCTCTTGTTCTTAGGGGTTTGAAGGCCTGTTCTTTCAGATGGTCAGTTTGGCTTCCTCATTTGTCTTACTCTGGCAGCTCCTCTGACACCTATCTACCATGTTGACCGTGGTGTTTGAAATATCAGTGGCATAGCTTCTGGCATCACAGCAACTTGTGAATCATTCCAGAACAGCAACTGGCAGACAAATGCTATTCTCATAATAGCAAATGATGATATACATCATTAAGCTATAAAATAAGCTGCAGTATGCAAACCCCTTTTTTAGTACAACAAATTGATAGAAAAGTGTTGTACCCATATGAGCAAACCATAAAAACAAGCAGGCATATAGATAGGGTGCAGGTCGGCTCCCTCTGGTTCCAATTTCAAGTCTCCAGGCCCCCAACTCAGGCTTGGGTGATGGACGTGGGCAGTGTATGAAGTATTAACGTAGGAAAGTTTGATATTGTAAAAAAGAAAATGGAATGCACAAAGATCAGCATCCTAGGCATTAGTGAGCTGAGATCAACTGCTACTGGCCACTTTGAATCTGACAATCATACGATCTGTTATCTTTGGAAAGACAAATTGAGGAAGAATGATATTGCATTCATTATAAAAAATGACATTTCAGGTTCTATCTTTTGTTTGTTTCTGGTTTTTGTTTTATTTTCCTTTTTTGTTGGCTTACTTATAAAGTTTGTGTACATTGTGTTTCACACTATTCCTCATTCACATTATGTTTCATATACTCATTCATACACATGATAAAAATTTATAAAATTAATCACCATTGAACCTTGCCCGTCATTACCCTGTCTTTTTTATAACATTAATTGTTCTTAATTATAATACATTTTTGTTTTAATATTATAAAATTAATGTTGTAAAAATTAATATGAATGGTTGAATTAAAAAATTCTTTTGCTTTGTAAACTTCCACTCAAATCATCATTATTTCTGTAAATGGAGAAAGCAAAACAAACCAATACATTAACAGCAAAAATAATTTCCTGAATGAGGCATATCATCATGTAATGACAAAAATGAATCACGGCCACAACTTTCACTTCCTATAGAACTCAGGTCACCTTTGTAGGTAGGACTATTGAGATACACAATTTCAAGGAATCTTACAGGATTGTTTCTGAGTTTGTCTCCACCTGGTTAAATGTTGCTTAGAACTATGACTTGCTGGAATCATTAAGCACATGCCCAGGCAAATTTTGTGGCTATAAGTGTAAGCCTTGAGGGGAATTCACCGCTCTCTGTTGCTGGTAGGTGCATTGGAGTTCACTAAGACAACTCAGAGCCATCCTAGGAACAACAGATCGGGACCTTGCCCTATCTTGCACCATTCTGATATACTGGGGCTTGTTGTTGCAGTCAGGGAACTGTGACCTAGTTAAGTTGAATCTAGTTAACACTCACCTCAGTTTGCCAGCTCTGAGTCAGTACCATCTTTTGCCTGGACTCTTTCAGCAACTGCTTGTGCTAAGCAAGGATTCTGGGACTTCGTCTGACATACTTTGAACATGTTGTAAGGAGCGACAAGTCCTTGGAGAGGGACATCATGCTTGGGAGGGTGGAGGGATGGCGCAAGAGGGGAAGACCTTCTATGAGGTGGATTGATTTAGTGACTGGGGTAATCGGGATGAGTGTGTCAAGAGGCAGTGCGATTGGCACAGGATAGAGCAGAGTTTAGGGCTGTTGTACATAGAGTCACTATGAGTCGAGCAAGCGACTCAACGGCACATAACAACAACAACAACAACAAGAACAACAGTTTTAATGAGCATTTACAGAGACCTTGGATTTCCATTCATTCATTCATTGTTGCACTTTTCTCCCCGCCCACCCCCACCCCCAGTTCGCTCTTTTTGAAGAGTAAAAGAAAAATTCCTTCATTACCCTGTCTTTTCACCCTGATCCTTCCCATTTCCTTCCCCGCTCCTTACACCCACCAAACTGTGATACCCTGTGGCTTTACCCCTACCCATTCTCAACACTCTGCTCCTTCTCGCCTTGAGCTCCCATGCATGTTTTAATAGTTATCCTTCTATTTTTACAATAATGGTCTTATGAAGCATTTGTCCTTATGAGACTGAGTGAGTTCATTCAGCATAATGCTCTCTAGTCTCTCCCAGGTTATGTAGTATTTTTCACAATCATTTCTCTAGAGTGCTATGTAGGATTCCATTGTGTGAACGTACCACAATTTCTCAATCCATTCATTTGTAGTTGGACATTCAGGCTATTGCCATGTTCTTGCAGTGGTGAATAATACTGCTATGAGTATTAGTGTAAAAATCTCTGTTTGTGTCTCTGTTCTCATTTCCTTGTAGTATATATGTATATTTTTTAATTTTATATTGATTTACACAAAGTTCTTAAAGTTCATATACATTGTTTTTCACACTGGACCATCCCCCTTTCCTTTACCAGTCCCCCCCTCCACCCATCAAATTGTGCTACCCTATGTTTACGCCCCTCCTCCCCCCTTGGATTCTCATACATGATCTACAATAATGGTCCTATACAGTATTTGTCTTTATGAGACTGAGTTCACTTAGCATAATGTCCTCCAGTTGCTCCCATGTTAGGTAGTAATTTACAAAATCATTGTTTCTGCATGCTGCATAGTATTCCATTTTATGAATGTACCATAATTCTCAATACATTCCATTGTGGTTGAGGATTTGGGCTGTTTACATGTTCTTGCTATGGTGAATAATGCTGCTATGAACATTGGTGTACTAGTCTGTTTGCGTTCAGTTCTCATTTTCTCAGGTTTTATTCCAAGCAGTGGAATAGCTGGGTTATATGGAATTTCTATGTTGAGCTTTTTGAGGAAACGCCTAACTGCCTTCCAGAGTGGTTGTACCATTTTACAATCCCACCACCAATGTATAAGAGTTCTTATTTCGCCACATCCTTGCCAACATTTATTACTTGATGCCCTGCTGAACTTGTCTACTGCTACTGGGAAAAGATGGTATCTCATTGTGGTTTTGATTTGTATCTCTCTTATTGCCAGTGTTTTGAGCATTTCTTCATGTGTCTGTTTGCCATCTGAATGTCATCTGTGAAAATTCTTTCACTGCCCATTTTGTAATTGGGTTATCAGTCTTTTTCTTCTGGAGGTCTTGTAGGATTCTGTAAACTGTTATGTAAACTTCGTCATCTGAGACAGTATTGCCAAATATTTCTTCCTAGTCAGTGGGTTTTCTTTTCACCCTGTTGGAAAAAGTTTTGATGAGTGCAGAGATTTAATCTTTAGAAGGTCTCATTCATCAGTTTTATCCTCTTCAGACTGCATTTCTGGCTATATTTGGCAGTCCTTTTATACCGTATACTAGGCCTTCTAAACTTGGTCCCAGTTTGTCTCTTATGAGCTTTATGGTTTGGGACTTTGTTATTCTGAGGTCTCTGATCCACCTTGAGTTGATTTTTTTATGGTATGAGATGTGGATTTTGTTTCAGCTTTCTACAGGTAGCAGTCTAGTTTTGCCAGCACCTTGTTGAAGAGGTTATCATTTCCCCATTTGATATACTTAGTAGTAGAATAGCTGGATCATATGAAGTTTCTGTGTTCAACTTGTTGAGGAATCCCCAACCTGTCTTCCAGAGTGGTTGTACCATTTTAAAGTCCCACCAGCAGTGTATAAGAGTTCCCACCACCCTGAATGTGCCCCATCTCGTCTCAAGATCTATCTTGAAATACAATGATGTGAATGACAGGATGCTATCTATCTATATGCATATTAGGAAGGCTGTTAATATAACTATTATACAAATGTACACACCAACAACTAAAGTCAAAGATGAAGAAACTGAGGATTTCTACCAACTTCATAAATTTGAAAATTGGTTGAAAATGCAATCAAGATTAATTAATAATAATTGATGACTGAAATACAAAAGTTGGAAACAAAGAAGGACTGGTTATTGAAATGATGGCTTTGGTGATAGCAATGAGAATATAGATCAAATTAATTTTGTATACTCAGTGATTTATTCATTACAAAATACCATATATGTGCACATTTATTTTCCATTGGTGTGATGTTAAGCTGTTTTTCTCAGCAAGATTGAGTTGCTGATTAGACTTCTGTGTCTACTCCCAATTATATATCCATGTTTCATATACTGCTTCTCAAGCTTAGATGTGTACCTAACAGCATTTGAAAAGGTCTTACCATAGAACACTTTTAGATTTATGGTCATCATCCTCTCTGCCCTACTAAATTCATGATTAATTTTCCCATACCTAACTCAACAGAATTTTTCCTAGAAACTTTCCTGTGCCAACTCTTTTGAGGATATCTGTCTTGTTTTTTTCCCCATAAAAAGATTTCTTACTAAACTCATGTTGTTGGCTTATATGATATTTAATAAAATTGATAATTACAATAAAGCTGTAAATTTTTATTTCCATTCATTCATTGTTGCACACTTTCCTTCCTGCCCACCTCTACCCAGTTCGCTTTTCTCATTCATTGAAAAGTAAAAATAAATAAATTCTTTCATTGTTGTACACTTCCCCACCCCATCTCCCAGTCCACTCCACTAAGCAGCTTTCATTCTGGACCCTTGTCATGACCATAATACCTAATCATATATTCCTCCCAAAGAGTCCTCTCCCTCATCTATTTCAATGCAGTATACATTATTTATCCCCTCCTAGTTTCCCCTCAACATGGATATCAGTCCCACTTTACAACAGTGGCACTATGCAGTATTTGTCATATTGTGACTGAGATATTTCACTCACATAATGTCCTCCAATGTCACCCATTTTGTATAATATTTCATGAGTTCCTTGTTTTTTAATGCAGCATATTCCATTGTATGAATATACCAGAGCTTCTCTATCCATTCCTTTGTTGATGGGCACTTAGGTTGTTACCAACTCTTTGCTATTGTGGACAGAGCCGCAATACACAAGGATGTGCTATATCTGCTTGGGTGGCAGTTCTAGTTTCTTTAGGGTGTATTCCCAGTAGTAGAATTGCTGGGTTAAATGATATTTCTATTTCTAACTTTCTGAGAAAGCGTCATACTGCCTTCCGTAGTGGTTGCACCATTTTACGCTCCCATCAACAGTGAATAAGGGTTCCCATTTCTCCGTAACCTCACCAGCATTTGTTGTGTGCTGTTCTGTTAAATTTTGCTATTCTTACTGGGGTGAGATGATATCTTATAGTTGTTTTGATTTGCATCTCTCTTAGAGCTATGGATTTTGAACATTTCTTCATGTGTTGGCCATCTGAATGTCTTCTTTGGTGAAGTGTCTGTTCATATCTTGTGCCCATTTTTCAATTGGGTTGTTTACCTTTATCCTGTCGTGGTATAAAGCGGTAACTTTTTTTAAAAAAAACCAAACCCTTTTCTTCTTATTAATTAAGAACTGACTCATAGCTGACCCTCAAGTGGATTTCAGATACTGTAAATTGTATGGCAGGAGATTGCCCATATTTCTCCCAGAGTCTCTGGTAGATTTGAATCACCAGATAGGCACAGACTTTGCCTTAAGAGTGTAACACCCTATGGCCTGAGCTCCAGGGTTGGGGGAGAGAGAGATAAAATAGATAGTAAACTTCTACCTTTATATAGCTTGTCAACAAACCAATAACACCAGAACACTACAGCTTGGAGACAGAAAACAAAGCTTATTCTGTGAGGCAATTGGAAATTGGTTAAGAAAACCCCTGAACATCTCTTCAGCATAGTACTTGTTATCCATATAATACTGTGAATTTATATGTATTATCAATATTTAGGTGACAGTAAAAATTGCTTGTAAGTGGATGCCCCCTTTGGAAACTGAACCAGCATCTTCATGTCATCTTGTGTAATGCAGCAATCTAGCCTCAGGAGAGAAGTGGAGTTTACTCTCTTACTCTTTTTCTCATTTTTATATGTAAATTATGGTATCATTGCCATACACCTTTTTCTTTCTGGTTTATTTTTCAGGAAGATTTCGATGTCGACCATTTTGTGTCTGACTGTAGGAAACGAGTCCAGTTGGAAGAACTTCGAGATGATCTGGAACTCTACTATAAACTTCTTAAGACTGCCATGGTTGAGCTCATCAACAAGGATTATGCAGATTTTGTCAACCTGTCCACAAACTTGGTAACCTTTAATTCCATGTTTCTTACCAGTCTGTACATTTCACACACTTTCTCTCTCATGCATATTTACTCTTTAAAATATTGTTTTTAGAAACTTTTCAGTTGGTTTTCTTCCCATAAACCGGTAGAGACCACTAATCTCAACAAAACAACCAAAACTTTCTTGGTATACTTTTTTGAAATTTTGAGGTAGTCCCAGATTTATTATTTTTTCCAGAAGAAAGTAAATTATTATTGAAGAAGAAAGGATAGTGATATCTGATCCATGTAGGAGAGGAAGATGAGATAGATTAGCATGGTGATTACAACACTGGGATTGAGCACAGCCAGTGTTGTGAGGATGATCCAGGATCAGACAGGGTTTTGTTGTGTTGTATGTAAGATTGCTGTATGTAAGAGCTGACTCCATGACACCCAATGACAACAACAATATTCAGAGTAGCTGACTTACCTTACGTACCTACTGATTACCATGAAATCTCACTAGTTTAGTCTGATTTGCAAAAGAAAATAGCAACTATTCTTAAGGAAATATTAATATACTTTCAAGTACATATGCTAACAACCAGAGCTAAGTTGAGGGAACATTAACCCGTATTAGTTTTAGGAGGTTTGGCTTTATGAAAAGAAAAGAATGATTTGTTATGGATTAGTGTTTGCAAAAGTAGAAACCCTTGTATGTTAATACTTGAAAATGTGCCTTAATGCTTCTTACATCTATGTTAATTTGCTTTAAAAATCTTTCCAAATAAGTAAGCAAATGAGTCATCTTTGTTGGTATTTTAAAACATTGAAATTAATGAGTTATATTAGTTTTGGGGATATGTATAGCTAAATGTTTCAGTAGGATTAGAAAGTGGAAAATTTTATTTCTTTTCTAGTTAATTGGATGTTTTTTCCCATGAGTTATAATAATGCTGATGAGATTAGACCTTTACATCAGCTAGTTGAGTACCATAAATTATATACAACTATTCATTTCCACTTAAAATTTTTCAAATTCTTATAAAAATTTTATTGAGAGGAAAATTGTACATCAGGAGGATTTTATTTATTATGGCTTCCCTTATTTCTGTAGTGTTCCATGTCCTTTTTAATAATTTTGTATCGGTAATATTTATGGTACAATGACCTGTTATTAAACTATTTAGTGATAATGTAGTTGTCCTTTTTTGTTGTATTAAAGAATAAATTCTGTATAGTGATAGTGATATTTATTAAAAAAATACTTACCTATTACTCCTGATATTGATGTGTTTATGTCAATATGATTGACCTTTAGGTTGGCATGGACAAAGCCCTTAACCAGCTGTCTGTGCCTTTGGGACAATTACGAGAAGAGGTTTTGGTAAGTCCCCACATAAGATGACATTGACTACAGAACTTGGTATATATGTGCATCTCCTCAAATAAAGCAGCTTTAGTCTGTCTATCTCCCCACTTCTCCAAGTGATCAGTGGTTATAACTTAACCTCCTCATCGCTGTGGAGTTGGAACCAACTAATGGCTGACACTTCAGTAGCTTTTCAGGGGCTTAATTGATGTGGGAGGAGATTGTCCATCTTTCTCCCAAGGACACACTGATGTGTTCAAATTGTTAGACTCCACCTTTGGTTAACAGCATAGCTCCCTATAAACTGTATAACCAGAGCTCAGAGTTGTGGTGGTGGTGTTGCTATGTGCTGTCAACTCAGAACCAACTCATAAGTGACCCTCCAGTGGATTTTCTGAGCCTGTAAATTGCATTGGAAGAGATTGCCCATCTTTCTTTAGAGCAGTTGTTGGATTTGAACCTTATGCCTTTGGGTTGGCATTGTAACTCTTTACTGACTAGGCCACCAGAGCTCCCTGAAAGTGGTTATGGTACCTACCAATTCACCTCCCCAAAGTATGAATGATTATTTTTTTTTGCCTGTTATGCTTGTTGTTGTTATGTGCCGTCGAGTCGTTTGCGACTCGTAGGGACCCTACGCACAACAGCCCTAAACCCTGCTCTATCCTGCGCCAACCACACTGCCTCTGACACACCCATCCCGATTACCCCAGTCACCGAATCAATCCATCTCACAGAGGTCTTCCCCTCCTGTGCTGTCCCTCCACCCTCCCAAGCATGATGTCCCTCTCTAAGGACCCGTCCCTCCTGGCAGCATGTCCAAAGTATGTCAGACGAAGCCCCAGAATCCTTGCCTCCAAGGAGTAGCTTGGTTTAATCCTCTCCAAGATGAATCTGTTTGTTTTCCTGGCAGTCCATGGTACATTCAGTACTCTTCTCCAGCACCACAGCTCAAAAGCATCCACTCTCCTGTCCTCCCTAGTCATTGTCCAACTCTCTGATGCATAACAAGCGATTGAAAATACCATGGCCTGTATCAGGCGCACCTTAGTCTCCAGAGAGACACCGTTGCTCCTGAGTACTTTAGAGAGGTCCCTAACAGCAGACTCTCCCATCGCGATACGCTTTTTGATTTCCTGACTGCTGGTGCCAAGAGTGTTGACTGTGGAGCTGAGCAAACTGAAGCTGTGAACAATCTCAATCTCTTCGCCATCCATCCTGACGCTGCCAGTTGGTCCAGTGGTGAGAATCTTTGTCTTCTTGACATTGAGCCTCAGTCCATACTGAAGGCTGCAATCCTTGACCCTTCGCAGCAAGTGCATGAGGTCCTCCTCAGTTTCAGCAAGCAGGGTTGTGTCATCTGCATAATGCAGATTGTTAATAGATCTTCCACCAATCCTGATGCCACAGTTCTCCTCATAGAGCCCAGCCTCTCGGATAATCTGCTCTGCATACATGTTGAAAAGGTATGGAGACAGGATGCATCCCTGGCGTACATCCTTCCCAATTTTGAACCATGCAGTGTTACCCTGCTCTGTTCTGACTACTGCCTCTTGGTCCAAGTATAGGTTTCGCATTAGCACAGTTAAATGTTCTGGGATTCCCATTGTTCTCAGAGTCAGCCACAGTTTGTTATGATCCACACAGTCAAATGCCTTTGCATAATCAATGAAACACAGACAGACATTCTTCTGGTGTTCTCTGCTTTCAGCCAAGATCCATCTAACATCGGCAACAATATCTCTAGTACCACGACCCCTTCTAAACCCAGCCTGGACTTCCGGCAGTTCTCTGCTGGTGTGCTGTTCTAATAGTTTTTGGATAATCTTCAGTAGAATCTTGCTTGCATGTGAAATCAATGACACTGTTCTGTAGTTTCCACATTCAGTTGGGTCACCTTTCTTTGGAATGGGAACAAATATAGATCTCTTCCAGTCAGTTGGCCAAGTGGTTGTTCTCCAGATTTCTTGACACAACTTGGTGAGCACATCCATGGCAACATGTTATCTGAAATACTTCAGTTGGTATACCATCTATTCCTGGGGCCTTATTTTTTTGCTATTTCCTCCAAAGCAGCTTGAACTTCTTCCTTCATCACCATAGGCTCTTGCTCATATGTTATTTCTTTAAATTCTTCTGTATCTGCCAATTCCTTTCTATATAATGACTCAGTATATTCCTTCCATCTTCTTTTAATACTTCCTGGATCATTTAATATTCTGCCCAAAGCATCCTTGATTACAGCAACTCTAGGTTTGAATTTGTTCTTCAGTTCCTTGAGCTTCAGAAATGCTGAGCGAGTTCGGCCCTTTCATTGTAGTATTTTGCTTTGTCATTCCGAGCAGCCTTTTGGAATCTTCTGTTCAGCTCTTTAGTATCTTGAATTCTTCCTTGTGCTTTGGCTTCTCTACGCTCCAGTGCAATCTTCAGAGTCTCTGCTTGACTGGAATAGGACAGATTCTCAGAATAAGCAGTCAAATTCTCAGGGAGTAGAAGGACAACTGTCAGAGATGGTGAAGGTGGCACAGGATAAGACAGGGTTAAGATCTGTTGTTCATAGGGTCGCTGTCAGTCGTACTTTTTATCATCTCATCTTCACCCTCCTCAGCACACACAGATTTCCAGAGTCTGACTTAAGTTCATCCCTTTCATAGAACTTGCTTCAGATTATCCTTTTTGTACCCTGTCCATCTAGAAAACTAATTGTGTGTGTATTATTACTATGGTAGTTATATCCTGCATATCCTTGCATTTTTATGTAATTTTGCCCCTAAAACATATCCCTTGATTTTGATGTGTTTAAGTTCTGTAGCATTAAATTAGTAAATTTTATAATGTTACAAAATAACTTCTATACTAAATTTTTTTTAATTCTTTTAAAGAGTCTTAGGTCATCTGTGAGTGAAGGAATTCAAGCAGTAGATGAACGAATGTCTAAACAAGATGACATTAGGAAAAAAAAGGTATGTTCAAGTATCAGTGTTAAAACATTGACTCTGCATCACCTTATAATTAAAGCCATTCTCACATAGGTGCTTTCACTTACTTTTCTTGACAACTTTACAGAGAAAAAGATGACCTTTTTAAGTATAAATAGGAAACAGGATCTCGAGGTTAGTGGGAGTGGAGCCAGATCACATGTACCTTTTACCTTTATCAGAGTCAAATCTCAGGTCATTGAAGTCCTGATCTTAGTAAAGTCTTAGTAAAGATAGAGGTAGTTTAGAGTAATTTCTTAACAGAGGAATTAAAATTGCACTCTTCTTGTACTATAATTTACTTATTACATATTACTTTACTATTTGCTATTTTTTGAAGAAAGCTTTATAGTTCATGTTACATGTCAACGAAAAGCTTCCTTTTTATGTGCTCTCATACATGTTGATACTGTGCAATACCTTTTCTTCTCCCAAAGATCTTTTACGTGCGTATATTTCTGCACTGAGCTCTTGTCCATGGGCATAGACTGTATGCAGGAAGTTGTGCTGCTGACCCAAAATCATTGTCTCTCTCACTGTTCCAATTCTCCAGCAGCTCAGTTGGGAGAATGATAGGTTATCTCCTCCCATGCAAGTTACAGCCTCAAAAAACTGCTAGAGGGTCATCAGTGGTTAGACTTTGACATGCATTTGAGTTTTTTGTTATGCATTATATGTCAGCTATGTATTTGAAGTAAGAGAACTTTGGACCTTCTGAATAGTCACTAAACTGAAATTCTTCATTTTTTCAAAAGCAGACACAACATTAACTGACATTTGTGTGACACTTTAAAGTCTAACAGACGTGTTCTTTTTTAACAAGTCTGTAATTCGGGTATTCACATTTTACAGACTAAGGAGTTAGTGAACTTTCTAAATCAAATTATTTCAATATCCTACTTGACTTAGTTTTATAGTTTAAAAAAAGTAAAGTCTTGCTCTCTTTCTGACCTTTTATTTCTTCTCTTGTTTTCTCTTTATGTGTACCTTTAAATGTACTGATTTTAGTTTTCAGTTGTCTTGTCTCTAAACTTTAAGGTTTATATTTCCCATTTTGTTTAGTATTCTAATAAATCTAGACAGAGTTGAAATAAAAATTTAAGACTTCTCACTCTAGCCTCATGCTCTTTCTCATGGCTTCTGTGTTGATTAGCAATCTTTCTTTAGGTCTCAAGAGAGAAGCTTGTTTTAGAGACTTGCTTTAATTCTTCTTTAGATTTCTTCTCAGCTTTTGTTCAAAGAATTCAAGAATTTAGTGTGTTTCTGGAAAAAAGCATAAGCTTTATGGAATCAGGGAATATTTGTGTGTTTTGCTTTTTTGTATCACCAATATTTGAAAGAATGACACATAAGTGCTCTGTAAATATTTAATCAATGATTTCTATTCTTTTAAAGATGACAGTTTTGGTTTTTATTCTCAATCTTACCATAACCCTCTGAAGAACTCCTTATTATTAGATATTTGTCTTGTATAATATCTTCAATAGCTATTCAATGTAGAGACTTATTGCACACATATATTGGTAGAATATACATGTGATCAGAATTGAAAATTTAGGAAAGTATAGTGCAAATTGCAACAATTTTTTAAGATGAGAAAAGTAAGGAATGTGAATATGGAAAAGTCTACTCTTTTAAAACTATAAATTTTATATAAACTTATTTAAAATCACAATTAAAATAAAAAAATTTATTTAAAAGAACAACTCTAAATTTACAATAAAATATTGATATATGCTTACTCTGGAACGTTGGTATTAAAATTTGTATTGTGGAGGATTACATTTTACATAGAGATAAACAGTTGTTTTGTGCCGTTGAATTGGAATCAACCCGTAACTATGACCTTCTAGTGGTTTTTCAGAGGCAGTAAATTGTATAGAGGAAGATTACCCAAATGCCTTTGGGATTGCAGCTCAGATTCTTACTACAAGGCCACCAGAGCCATTAAATAGTCTAAGCTAACTTTGAATTTTGTCTCTTTACATATTTGGAATAAGAAAGTAAAGAAGGTAAGATTAAACATGATAACTTGTTTTGCTCAAATTTTACTTTTATAGATGTGTGTGTTAAGGCTTATACAAGTTATTCGATCAGTTGAAAAAATTGAAAAAATTTTGACTTCTCAAAGTTCTAAAGAAACATCTGGACTTGAAGCAAGTAGGTAAGTATTTTTCACTAATTACTATATCTGACCAAATTTTTTTCATTAGAACTCATTTCTGACAAATAAGAAAATTAAAGTTTATGTCTTCAGTATTCTTAAATATACCTCAAAAGAAGTTGAGTGCATGAAATAGTAAAGTTAATGGTATAAATTATTATGAAAGCTGTATAGGTCAATGTTCCAAACCACCACCTTTTGAGGAATCAGAGCAGGGTGTTTTCTGTGGAAGACTTTTATCTTTGAAATGCCTTTATCCATGGCCTAGCAAAATCTTTGTTGATCTTTAAGATAAGGAATAACTTTCAGGTGTTTTGGAGTTTTTTTAATGATATGCTGAGAATGTTTATTAATGTATCCTGAAGTTAAAAAACTGTTAATCTTATCATTAGGAAATAGAACAGGAAACATTTCATTGAAATATATAATGTATAAAGAAAAAGCTTATGATAAAGAACATTTGTTTTGTAATATAGCAACTTGCTTACTACTCTAGTATTTAAAATCAGTCTATTAGGTTGGTGAATGATTCAGAAAATTAGTATTTTAGAATCAAAACTAGCAGGAGGCACTGTGGTATAGTGGGAAAAGCATGGACTCTGGATTTAGATCAATCTCAGTTTATGTCCCACCTAGCAGTTGAGTAACCACAGTACACAGATATTACCTAACATTACCAATAACAGAATACCAAGAAGACACTAGAAAATTACTTTCTATGAACTAACTATAGAATGAGTTTCTCCAGGAAATCTTCCCTGACCATTCTGATCTAGATAGTAAGTCTGTGCTTTTGTGAGGCCCTCTACCAAAAATTTACATGTGCCACTGGAATCATACACTTTTTGTGCTAGACTGAAGGCCCCAGTGCATCAGTGTACCCACAGTGTCTTGCATTAGTTGTACCTAATAAAGATACCCAGTCACCCACAGTGACTTTTAGAGCTTAGATGAAAGACTTCTGTTTACCATGCTTAATATCATAGATATTGTACTCCTTTTTGTGCAGAATCACCTTTGAAGAAAGTTCTGTAGTTCAGATCAGTTGTTTTAGTCTGTAGCAAACCAGAAATAAGAGCAAAGTAAGTGAATCATAAATACATCATCCTTATTACACCTAGGAATGTTTAGGTAAATTGTATGTCCACACTAGGTTATTCAGGGCAGAGGTAGGAATATTCAAGATAGAGTGTTAACCTTTTGGTTTGAACATGCTCAAGTGTTCTTGTTCTAAGTTTAAATACTTCAAATACAGAACTGGGTAAACTAGTGATGATCTTTCTATGACATTTCATGTATTATTATGCTGTGATATACTTTACTCACTCAGATGTCACCAGATACTTACTCATTGTTAAGTTTGATGCTGTTCATAGCTGACCCTCCAGCAGGATTTGAAGAGACAGTAGCTTCTATGGGAAGAGATTATCTTTCTCCCTCAAAGTTGCTGGTAGAGTTGAACCACCGGAAGTTTAAATCAAAGTTGCCTTTGATTTAGCAGTGCAGCCTCCTACCAACTAGGTCATCAGAGCTTCCTTACCAGATATTTCGTTGTTAAGTACTTTTGAGCCGGAACCGACTCATAGTGGACCCTCGCATCAGTTCTTAGCAACAATAAATCACATGAGAGGAGCTTGCTCATATTTCTTCCATGGAGCAGCTAGTGGAGTCAAACCATGTGTCTTTGGATTGACGTTGCAGTTCTTTACCACTAAGCTATGAGGTATAGGATGTCCTAAATATAAAACAGTAATTATTTCATGCCTTTATGTTTTTCCCTTTTTGTAGTCAACTCCTTTTGAGTGATATTGATACTTTATAATGTAATTTGTTGTTGTTTGATGCCATCAAGTCGTAGAGGACTCATAGCGACCCTATGAACGAACGGCCTGAGCACTGTTCGTACATAGAGTTTCCGAAGGCAAGCCATTTCGGAAGTGGATGCTGCTCCTGCTTCCAGGCTTGATTTAGTCTGGAAGCTCCAGCCAACACTGTCCACCATGGGTAACCATTACCACGATTGGCACATCACTGTCACAATCTTTAGCATCACAGCAACCACGAGTTACCTCTGTACAGCAATGCACAGACCAGTGCTATACCACCTAGAAGAATGTATAATGTAATTTAGGAAAAAATGATGCATTTATTTGACTTTATAGCAGATAATACAATGTAAGTGGTAAAAAGGGGACCCGGAATGTTGCCTACTCTTTAGCTAATTGGTGAATATAGATTTAAAGTCAATTACTATTTTGGACTGCTGACTGAAAGATCAGCAGTTTAAATCCACCCCTTGCTCCGTAAGAGAAAGATGGACCGTTTCCTTCTATAAAGACTTAAAACCTTGGAAGACACGCCTGCTCCTGAAAGATTGCCCTTGAAAATCCTTTATAGCAGTTCTTTAGAGCACATGCAGATGCGGTTGTGATGAGTCACAATCAACTCAATAGCACTTAACAACAACATAGTAATTTCATAACAACATAGTAATTTTATATTTGGCTCTTTGAGAAACCACCAAACTTTTTCTACAGGGACTGTACTATTTTACTGTCCCATTAGCAGTGAGTGAGTATTAATACTTCCTAGAAGGTTTGAAATGATATCTCACTGTGGTTTTGATGTGCTTATTGTCCGTTTGTATAGTTTCTTTGGTGCAATGTCTATTCTAGTCTTTTGCCTATTTTTTTTTAATTTATTATTAATGTCAATGAAAATTTACAGAGACTTTGGATTTCCATTCATTCACTATTGCAGTTTTCTCCCCTTCCAACCTTTCCCCTTAGTACACCACCCTCTTGGAAAAGTAAAAGAAAAATTCTTTCATTGTTTTACAATTGCTCCCCCCCAGGTCCACTCCACTATGCAGCCTTCGCTCTGGACTCCTGTCATGACAAAAAGACCTAATCACATATCCCTTTTAAACAGTTTTCTTCCTTATCTGTTTCAGTGCAGTATGCATTATTGAACCCATCTTTCTCAGTCTCCTCCCAAACCCGAGGTAATGGCACCATGCAGTATTTGTCCTTTTGTGACTAAGGTACTTCACTCCGCGTTTGTCCTCCAGGGTCACCCGTTTTGAATAATATTGCATGAATTCCTTGTTTTTCAATGCAGGGTAGTATTGCATTGTGTGAATATACCACAGCTTCTCTATCCATTAGTTTGTTGATGGGCACTTAGGTTGTTAAAACTCCTTGCTATTGTGAACAAAGCCATGATAAACATGGGTGTGCATATTGCCTAATTTTTAATGACTTTGTAATTTCAGTTTAATTCCTTACCACTAAGCTACCTATAGAATAAAATGTAAAACAAAATTTTTATTTAAATTGTGATTTTAATAAAAGTTTACAGAAAAGTTGGATTTTCATTCATTCATTGGTTCATATTTTTACCACTTCTCCATCCCTCCCTTCCCCCTCCCTCAGTTCACTTTTTTTTTTTAAAAAAAAAATTCTTTCATTATTGCACATGCTGAGGGTTTTGGAGGAGAATAAGATAAAAGTGGATAGGTAATGAACATTGCACTGTAACAGATGAAGGAAAGACCTATTTAAGAGGAATATATGATTAGGCATTATATATACGACAACAGTGCAGAATAAGAGGTACATTGCAAAGAGGACTGGAGGAGGGGGAGGAGAATAAAATAATAATTTTTGAAAGGGCATCTATGAACTATATATTCCAAGTGTTCAGGTTTTGCTATTTGGTAAGTCACTTTTATTGATAAAGCAAAATAATAAAAAGGAAGAATTAAGCAGGTAGAGAAGTAGAAGATGATGCAAATGTAAATAATAGGAATAGTACTGAGGGGAGAGAGAATTAAAGGCCAGGAAGAACTATTCTTGAAGAAGTAGTAAACCATATGATTGGCCTCACACTGACGTACACTTTCTACTTCCTGGGCCTGTGGTTAGAGCCAGGCAGCGTTGTCACTCGTCATGGCATGCAAAACAGGCTTTCTGCATAGGTTCTGGGGGAAATTTATTGATGTCTCAAAAGATGCCCAAAGAAAAGAAATTTTTTTAACTTTCACCTTCTAACAAAATTGTTATGAGAAAACATTATTTGAAGCATATAAAAATACCGTGGATTTTAAAGCATAGTTATTAAAAATATGTTTTTATTGTTTTTGGAAAGAAAAACTTTTATTGTTTTAAGTTTAAATTTCTTTGTATTCTTTATCTACTAGCCCACTTTTGACTGGAAAGATTTTGGAACGAATTGCTACAGAGTTTAACCAGTTACAATTTCATGCCGTTCAAAGCAAAGGCATGCCTCTTTTGGACAAAGTAAGACCAGTAAGTGTCATTTTGGATTTCACAGTTTGGTGTTTAGGAATTTACCAGGTTTAACCTGGTCGTGCTTTTGCTATTAATTGTTGATCTAAAGAATTTTTAAGCTAATCTTGTATTTTTTTTTTTTACTTCTTTTTTATTAATTTCAATGAAAATGTACAGAGACTTTGGATTTCCATTCATTCATTATTGTACTTTCTCCCCTCCCAACCTTCCCCGCTAGTACACTACCCTCGTGGAAAAGTAAAAGAAAAATTATTTCATTGTTTTATAATCCCTCTCCCATAATCTTGTTTTTTTTCCTTTCTGGTTTTTTTTTTTAATTTTGGGCCAAAATTTATGTTTTATAAATTTTGTTGAACCTCAGTCACATTCTCTAAACTATGAAGTGCAAAATTAATACTAAATTCCATGTAATTTGATACATTATGTAACATAGCCAGGTTTAATTTATTAAAACCTTTGTGTGGACTTTTAAGACCATGATATTGTTCAGATTTTCTTTAGGCTTCTGCAGAAAATATATTTTTTCTCATTTGGCAATTTTGTATAAATCCTTAGTAAAATGGAGATATAATTTTAAAGAGATTTGTTACTTCTCAGAAAATGTTAATTTGACATCCTAACTTCTGTTAAGATGTGTATTTGAACTTTGAGAAATTGTTCCAATTAGCACTTTCTTTGTCTGTCTGTTTTTCTTGGCAGCGTATAGCTGCCATTACAGCCATGCTACAACAGTCCTTGGAAGGTCTCCTGTTAGAAGGTCTTCAGACTTCCAATGTTGATATAATACGTCACTGTTTGCGGACTTATGCGACAATTGACAAGACACGTGATGCAGAGGCATTAGTTGGCCAAGTACTTGTGAAGCCATATGTGGATGAGGTATGTGCACCTCAAAACCTTTTAGCAAACATTTATAGAGCACATCTGTGTCTTGGGCATGAGGATAAAATAGGGATATTTCTTTAAAAATAACCTTAGTTCCCACAGTGTAAGTTGTAAGAAAGAATCGGTTCCTTTTTGGTTACAAGCAACAAACCAAGAAGTGGGCATGCCCTCAGATAAATTCAAGCCATGTTATAGTCCAGAAATCATCGCAAGAATCTTCTGTTGTGATAAAGGTTTGCAGCAGGGTTTCTGAGGTCATTTTTATATGAAGGTTATAAATCATATCTCAGTAAAGTTGTTTTATGAAAGTTTTGGACCACTGATCTAGTGAGCAGAATAAAATCATCAAACCCATAACCGCACAACAATGTAAGGATGCCATAGTGGAGGTGTCCACAAAGAACTCTGAGCACAGAAAAGTGTATTAGGATGGAATATACTACTATACCAGAAGTATTCACAGGTGATTCATAGATGATATTTGACCTAAGTCTTGAAAAATATGGAGGAATTTGCCCAACCAGGAAGTGAGGTGGAGAAATATTTAAAGATGAAGAACTTATATAAACAAATTAGCAGAGTAATACCCTTTTCAGAAAGTGGTGGTCTGGTATCCTTCACTTACTTTAGACAACAAAGCATCCAGAATGTAGGTTGTTGTCATGCTTGGAAAGGCGAAGGATCAGCAAAGGAGAGGAAGACCCTTAGCCATGATTGTGGCTTGACAAGAATACTGCAGTAATGAACTCAAGTATGTAAGAGTTGATGAAGATGAAGATGGCATAGGACAGCGTTTAGATCTATTCATAGAGTCATGAGTTGTACTCAATTTGACAGCACCTGACAGCATCTGAAATTGCTCATGTTTAACCATTTTGATAGAAGAAAATAACAGCTTCATCCGACACAGAACTTACTGCATTATTCTGAGACTTTCTTCTAGTCATCTGTCAGCTTGACTTATTTGTGTCTACTCAGTTCAAAGTTCATATTTAGCATCATATCTTGAGATGAAAGTCTTCAGTTTTTTGAAGAGGAAAATTGAATCTCATGGTTGAAAATGAAATATAGGTATTAATTATAAAAATTTTGTCAATTTAGTTAGGAACACTTAGAAGAAAATAATCTTGCAACCGTATGGACGCAGCTTGAAAACATTTTAGTGAATGAAATATCATTGCAAAGGGAAAATATTTTATGGCCTCACTTAGGTAGAAAGACAAACAAAGGAAAAAGAACCAATACAGCAAAAGTATCAAACCCACTGCCATTGAGTTGATCGCACACAGAGTAGAACTAGGGTTTCCAAAACTATTAATTCTTTATAGAAGCAGACTGCTTCCTCTTTCTTGCATGGAACCTGGTGGCTAACACACAAATGCCTTAACCATGTTTAGAAGACAAAGTCTGTTAGTACTTAAAAAGGGCAGAAGAGAAGTGAGAGGGGAAGCAGGGGATAAATAATGATGAAAATGTCATTGATTAAAGGTTAAATTGCACAGGCAATTGTAACTCTGCAATTTGTAACTCGTTGTCAATGTTGTGTGATAGATACACTTCTTACTTTTAATAGGAGCAGGAATGTAGCTTTTGAGACTGCTTATTTACAACCCTAAACCTCATGGAATTAATTTTTTTTTTTTTTAGTTTGGAGATCTGGAGTGATCTCAGTTAATTGGCCTAAAGAGTCTTCAGGACTTCTGTTCTAGTTCCTACTGCATGCATCTCCTTATGACATTGTGAAATCCTGTAAGCACCCATCCAAGGCACAGCCTAGGGCCTCTGTTTGACTGCAACAACAGAAAGATGAGAATCAGGACTGGGAGAAGGATATAGGATGTGTGGCCAATTGCTTCCATGAAAAACTATTGTTTGGGTCCTTTGCCATGAGACCTGAAAACTAGACGGTGCCTGGCTGTCATGTGCTAGAGATGAATCTTGATCAAAAAAAGGAGGAAATGGAATACAAAATTTCCAATTCTCATTGACTCCAGACTTCTTAAATGACTCCTTAAACTATTGCCCTGAGATAAACTTTAAATCAAAAATATCCCCAAAGCCTTAGCTTATTTAGCAAATAAAAGTTTGCCCTGAGCACTATATCTTTTTGAAATAACTACCTGTGTGGACTCCGATTATTAATAGTAAATGCAGAGATTTTGAATTTGTATTCATGGGAGAGGAGCAACTAAGAAAAGGAGGATAAGAATCATAGTATAACTCAGAGGTATGGCTGAATGGTCCATGAAGAAACTGTTGAATTGGTATATATTTTGCTACATATGTTTTCCTTAGCAACAATATAAGTAACTTTTAAAAAAATGACCTATTAATTTCTTCTTGTATATGTTTCATAGCTTTCCAATAAAGGTAGAAAAGACAAATTATATACTTTATGAATAAGTGTAACTATTTTGTTATTAATTTATGCCCCTTCTTCATTGAAATGAATGTTGTATATTAAAGAAATACTTGAAGTCTCTGGGCCTTATTAAATAAACCATGGCCACATTTTATTTAAATTCATACTCTCTTTTCTGTTTTTTAAACTCATATTCTTAAAAGAATATCCTAGCTGCTCTTATCTCCCAAACTTGTTGCTAAAAATAACTGAGAAAATAAAATATATTTTCTTCATCTGCATCTATCTCAAGTCCTCCTCAAGTATGCATGAGAATGTTGTTGTTATGTGCCGTCAAGTCATTTGCGACTCATAGCGACCCTATGTACAACAGCCCTAAACCCTGCTCTATCCTGTGCCAATCGCATGGCCTCTGACACACCCATCCCGATTACCCCAGTCACTGAATCAATCCACCTCATAGAGGGTCTTCCCCTCCTGTGCTGTCCCTCCACCTTACCAAGGATGATGTCCCTCTCGAAGGACCTGTCTCTCCTTACAACATGTCCAGAGTATGTCAGACGAAGCCCCAGAATCCTTGCCTCCAAGGAGTAGCCTGGTTTAACCCTCTCCCGGATGAATCTGTTTGTTTTCTTGGCAGTCAGGGTACATTCAATAATTTTCTCCAGCACCACAGCTCAAAGGCATTCATTCTCCTTCTGTCCTCCCTAGTCATTGTCCAACTCTCTGATGCATAACAAGTGATTGCAAAGACCATGGCCTGTATCAGGCGGACCTTAGTCTCCAGAGAGACACTGTTGCTCTTGAGTACTTTAGAGAGGTCCCTAACAGCAGACTTTCCCATCGCAATATGTATAGAAGAGAAAAAAAATGAGAGTCAAGACAAAGAGGTGTTATTACAATGAGGAATTACATGTTTAATTTATGTCTCATTTTTTGAGATATTGTATGTTTGATTTCAAAAGGGAAACAGATAAAAGTGTCTGATTCATCAACATAGGTTAGTTCTCTATTAAAGCTACTCCTTAATCCTAAGAACTAGTTGTGTAACCTATTATTTACCTTCTTTATTAGAAAATATACCTGTTTGTCAGGGGAGAGGCATGAGAAAATGGATTTTTAATGTTTTTTTAATAAAATTCTTTATGATATATCATTCATACTTTCCTTATAGATGCTTTGAAAAATTATTTTTTTTTTAAATAGGTGATTATAGAACAGTTTGTTCAGTCTCATCCAGATGGCCTTCAGATCATGTATGATAAGCTTCTGGATTTTGTTCCTAATCATTGCCGCCTTCTTCGAGAAGTCACAGGAGGAGTAATTTCAAGGTAATTTCAGTAACTATGCATAGAATTTCCCTCCATATTTGTGCCTGCACCTGTAAGCTATGCTGATTCTTCCTGTCTGGAATGTACCAGGTACACTGTTTACTGTCTCATGTAATTGTTTACACAGTGTTACCATTAGCCATGCCTTACAGGTATGGAAACTGTAAGAGATAAAGCTAAAGCTCAATTCCAAGTGTATAATTGTTTTTTTCTGTATGGTTTTTCCTAAATCAAATTTCAAATAAAAATTTATTTTTTCCTGTTATTTTTATGTTGTTGTTGTTTGTTGTTATGTGCCATCAAGTCGTTTGCGACTCATAGCG